TATATAATTTATTACATTGGATAATTTATTACGATCCAATTCATCAGACCTATTCAAATTTTGAATTTGTAGGTTTGATGAATTGATCGTGATTACGATTCCAATGTAATAAATTATAACCATGGAATATTAGTGTTTGAACCTTTACATTATATTCTTACTACCTGGATTCTATCCTCTTGGGAATTTATATATATATATATATATATATATATATATATATATAAACCATATATATATTATATATATATATATATATATATATATATATATATATATTATCATTTCACCCTGAGCAAATTCATAATGGCACTAAAGCGCAGAAAATTAAAGAGAGTGAAAGAAGATGGGAAAACTTTTTGGTGAAGTGAAACGTCAATAAAAGCTCAAGTCTCAGGAAGACAGAAGACGCAGATCATATGTAGAATGGAGGCATGAAACAGGAAAAAGGTTTCCATAGGTGAGGAAATAAAACTATTAAAATATATCTAACGATGACATCCATCGAATTAAAGAGCAAAACGATGAAACCTAGTTGGCAATCTAGAATTAGACATAAATTCATACAATCATGGTACCAAAGAGAAACGCTTAAAAGGAAAAAAGCCATCAAAGTTTTTATGGAAAAGACAGAGAAAAGCTGCTTCAGGACGATAGGAAAGTGACAGAAGTCGGCATGTCAATTTAGGACCGATGATATTAGAGACGCCTCTTTGGATGGTGCGAGAATCATGATATATATTACAAGAGGGCCAGCCCAGATATTCAAATATTCAATGCACTGACGAATGGTAGATTTATAAAAGTGCAAGATGGATTCTGCAGAGAAGAATTGTCTCGCACGACTCAGTGAACTGACATTCCTAGCAACAGATCTAGCGATTGATTCAATATAATCACTCCACTTAATGTCATTAGAACACGCGGCATCAAAAGGTGCAAAGAGTTGCTTTCCTGGAGATTAGCATCAGCCCTACAAACCATTTCTCATTCTAATTAACAATTGAGTGGGGGTCATTTTCGAGCTGCCAGTTTTACTTTGTCCGACCTATCGAACTTACTATTAAGAAGGTAGTACCGTAATTCCCCATGTATAATACGCATCTTTTCTAAAAAATAATAAGCAAAATAAGGGGAGCGTATTATGCACAGCTACAAAAATTGCCGTAAAATAAATTAAGAATTATCATAAAATTAAATTAGAATAATATTATTCTGTGTTTATTTTTTTTTTTTTTAATAAGAGTAGGAAACGCTGACCGTAATTAAATTGGAGAGGCACAATTTATAGGGTTTAATTACCAAACAAGGGTTGCGTATTATGCACGAGTAGAAGCAATTTCCCACAATTTTAGGTGTGCGTATTATGGATGAAGGCGTATCATATATGAGGAATTAAGTTAAATAGTTGTATCATCAGCATAAACACTGAGTTGAGAGAATGATGTCATCGGGAAGGTCGTTGACAAAGCTAAGGAACAAAGGAGGTCGAAATTAGATTATTGGATGTCAAATTATTTTTTTTTATCTTTGATCAATGTCTTCTACAACCTAAGCAAAGTATTAAGACAGAGGAAAATATGCCTAAAAACAAAATGAGTCATGTTTTACTATGTAATATATAATTTACTCTACTTGTGAATACTGAACAATCTAACATGATGAAAATATTTGAAGAAACAGAAATGTGGTTTTACCGAAGAATGCTAAGAAAACCATGGATAGAACACGTGAGCAACGAGGATGTTTTAATGAAAATAGGAACAATTGGGAAACTTGAGCAATCAGAAAGGGTCAGTTGAAATTTCTGGGACATAAATAAAGGGAAAAAACAAGGGTATATTATATTCAACACTCTCGGGGCATAATGAGGGAGAGTGAAGCAAGGAGAAAACCCATGTTTACCTACTTTCTGGGAATCGATGGCAGAACAAGAACAAATAGAATTGGTAAAAAGTGAATGATTGCTTCAAATTGCAAAATACAGATATTTTAGGTGAGCTTAATCGTCTGAATCCTGAGTGACGCAAGATTAAAAATAAATTTTAATTCCGATAATCTACGTGAAGTTTATTGAACCGAAAGCAGCAATATCTCAGATGAAACAATAAATTCAACAGGAACAGATAGATTACATTATCGTCTTGTTCCCATTCCCTCAAATTTCTTTTGAACAGGAGTAGAGGTTTATCAATTGCTTCCTGATTGATTGTCTTTCCACTTCCTTCTTCTCATTCTCTTTTACTCCCAGTGTCGTAGTGGCATTATTAAAAAAATAGTTTTCCTCCCTTTATTAGAAAAAAACAGCAGAAGGTTCTGGGGTACGTAATGAGGAAAGAGCGCTTGGAAAATTTGATACTTACATGAGAAATTGAATGTAAAGAGAGAGAGAGAGAGAGAGAGAGAGAGAGAGAGAGCAACGCATAACCTACCTGTCTACATTGAATGAATGGATGGTGGAACATAGTTTGAGAAAGATGGCAAAAAGCGCAGAAGTTATTAAGTGCTACAAAGAACTGGAAATTGTGAAGAGCCATGATCGGGACACTGCTCACAGAAGAAGAAGAAGAAGAAGAAGAAGATCTAGTATGAAAGACAAACCTAAACGGTATCTCTAATTGTATTTTAATCAACCTAACGAATAGTATATCTACAAATTTTGTCAAAGTAGAGTATTTAACGTGTGTTTTGGTAATTAATAATTCTAATGTAGTAAAGGCCAAAATAATCGATATCCGGATCAATAAAATAGAAGAATGCTGATCTGGATCGTGAATGAAAACAATTTAAAAAAAAATTGTAATTATAATTAAAGCAATTGTGCGCGTTCTTCTGTGACGTGACAGCTGCTTTAGTGTCGCTCCAATGAACCATAGTTTGACGTATATTATGTTAAACAAAGCACACGCAAAAAGTCGAACAAATAAATATAAAGGAATCAGGAGATCAGCGCAACTCCACTTTGGGGCACCATAAATTTGTTCAGCTTTACAACTTACGTTAATTAAAAGTTGATTATGTCTCACGACTTTATAAAATTACTGAAATTATTCGTTCATTTATGGAGCATCGAAGCCGTACATGATATAACGTAGACTAATTTATACCTTATCTGTAAACATCCGAGCAAAATCTTTTTGTTTTTATTTCAGGGCACTCTTTCAGAATAGCTGAAACTCTAGTTCATACTTTAAATATTAATAAGGAATAATTAGTCATGAAATTTCAAAATATAAAATTCGAAAATATCAAATTTTGGTTTAGTATTCCCAAAGATTAGCGGTTCAGTTTTCAGTTAAAGAGATTTATGAAATTACAGTGTAACCCGGATATAATAGACCCGGATATAAGAGTAACCCGGATATAAGAGAGATTTTCTCTGGTCCCAAATTAGAGCCTGTGTTAATGTATATAAAATAGACCAAACCTGGATATAAGAGAAACCCGGATATAAGAGACTTCTTCTCCGGTCCCGACAACTCTCTTATATTCGGGCTACACTGTATAAGGACAAAAGTACACAGGTGTAGGCTTTAAGAAAGCTTTGTTCAACTGAGAATACAAGGTTCGCGTATAGTGTCCTTTTATAGTCCCAGTAAACAGAAATAGGTCTCTTAAAGAGGGGAGTAACAAAACAAGGGGAGACCACTCTTGATTATTTATAACAGAAGTATCTGCTATTATTTGGAGACTAACAATGACTGATTTAAATCCAGTGAGAGAAAACTTAAAGATTAAGGAATTTAGTATCCAGTTTAAAATATCAAATGATGAAGACTTGATTTAGAAAGCAAGCTATATGCATGGTGTCTAGGATTTTAAAAATAAAGAATTTTATAGCTTATTTTTCATTTTCATAGCTTTCTCTTTTGTTAATTAAGGGCGCACGTGGCCAACTTTGAGGGCGTATTAGTGCATTCGTGCACATCAGTTGTGAAATGTTACTCTATAGTATTTGATCTACAGTCTTTTTTTATTATTTATCTTAAGAACAAATTTCAAAATTCAGCATTAAAAAGATACCTGGTTATATTAGTAAATGGTTTCAGAGTAGGGTAAACTTAATCGATACAACAACTATATATTTAGTAGAGCATATATGAGTGATCAATCCTGAACAAAAATCAACGGAAAAAAAAAACAGTGGGCAAAAAACCCAGCCGACAAACCCCAGTCGGTTATCCCAAAACTGGGCGAAATTCTGATCTTTTAAAAAAAAATTCTCATATATAAAAAGAATCAAACTTATTATGGAAAATTCAAAGGAACTTTTAATTCAAATTTTAATGTCAAATTGAGATATTAATATAAAAAATATACAGTACTTATGTACAAGAATTATCTATTTTTGACGGGTAATCCACGAGTTTATGTGTCCACTTTGTTTACGATATAAATTCATTGTAACGCGATTCAACGTTTAAAAACGTTTTCTAACAGTACTACGGTCGCATGATTGATATATGTAATAGTTAGTGAGTTTTAGTATCCCATAAAACCAGATGTTATTGTAAGAAAGCCTCAAGAAGGGTTTTTTGAAAGTTGGCCCCAAAACGTAAACAAACAACGGCGATCGGATACGAATTAATATTATGTAGAATTAAGGGCTTAAATAATTTTTTCGCGAAATAACGTTCTTGTACATATAAGTCGAAATGATTTGATATTATTTTTAGCCTCAATTTAACGTTACAATTTGAATTGAAGGACCCTAGAATTTTCAATATTAAAATTGTTTCTTTTTGTATGAGGCATTTCAATATAATATTAAGGAACAGCGAAGTGGATCTTTTATGTTGTTTCCTTGTTAGGTGACACACTGGAGCATCCATTGAAAAACAAACTTGTTCTGGTCGTAATAATCCTTACAGATGTGCGATGGCATAGTTTATATCAAGAAATGTAACATTTTTCATGAGAAGAGCATAATTTTTATCTGAAAGTCAGAACAAAGCAGTTACCATTTTTCTGCTCTTTGTCGCATAATCACGTGATTCCAGTGCGATTGAAAACTGTTCCATAAATAATATTCCTTTCTTTCTTTCTTTCGATCTTTCTTTCATTCTTTTTTTATTACGTTCTTTCTTTCTTTTTTGTTTGTTTGTTCATTCTTTCTGTCTTTATTCATCATTATTCTTTCTTTCTTTCTTTCTTTCTTTCATTCGTCATTGTTTCTATTGGTTTTTCCTTCTTTTTCTATCGATCTTGCTTTTTCTTTCTTTCCTTATTTTTTCGTTCTTTCCCTTTCGTTCTTCCTTTCTTTCTCATTTTTCCCCTTATTCTTCCTTTCTTCATTTTTCGTTCGTTCGTTCGTTATTTCTTTATCTTTTCATTTTTCCTCATTCTTTCTTCATCTTTTTTTTCTTTTCTTTCTTCGTTCCTTTCTTTCTTTCTTTCTTTTGTTTTGTCTTTAAATTTACTTCTTTCTTTCTACCTTTCTTTCTTTATTCCACATTTTTCCTTCCTCTTTTTTCTTGTTTCTCTCTTCCTTTCTTTATTCTTTCTTTCCCTTTCATCTTTCTTTCTTTCTTTCTTTCTTTCTTCCTCCATTCATTTTTTTCATTTTTCTTACTGTTTTTCTTTATTTCTTTTTTCTTTCTTCATTCGTTCATCTTTCTTTGTCTCTTCATGTTTTCCTCTTTCTTTCTTTCTTTCTTTTCATTTTAACCTGTTTTCTTAATATATTTCTCTCATTGTGGCTTTTTATCGTTTTATTCCCAAAAAAATCCATCGGGAATTTATACAACTTTAATTGCCATTTAATCATTTTCATGATACATTTTATCTTAACGAAGCGTCCCTTCATAACATAGGAGATTCCAGCTCTGCTCAGAAAGTGCGACAATGAAATGGGCATGTGGCTGAGTGGTTAGAACGTTCGCATTCTGGTCATGAGACCAGGGTTCGAATCTCACCATGGTCGATTTGTCAGAACGATGTTATCCTGATGTTAGCGGATTGGAGGTTTCGATCCCAGCGTTCGTCACATTTGGAAAGTGCCTGAAAAACATACCACGGTTTGACTTAAGATGTGTGAGTGAAATTGGATAGACGGAACCTTGGTGGCTTCGATAGCTGTGCTAGCACGAAGTCACAAGTCATCGTGGCTGAGGGCTTGAGCATGCTGGCCCTGTTCAAATTGTTGATCACGATAGATAACACACTCTTTCGTGGAAAGGTCTGTTCAGCATACTTGCAGTATAAACCACTGTGGGTGTTGAATAAACACAAATGAACATGAGCAAGCGTCTTTGTTCATCCGTTTTAGGGACTGGCTACCTTCCCTTCTATCCTCTAACTCCAGTGGCTTGCTATACATCAGTCGTATTATATGGCAGTGAATGCTAGACAATCTACTCACAAGAAGAGTCATGAGGCAACAGAAACTTAGTTCCACAGAAGGATGCTGAGAATACAATGAAGAAGTTTTAGAGAAAATACAAACAAAAAAAATACGTAACAACAGAAAGGGACAGCTGAAAATTATAGGGAACATAATGAGGAAACAGGGCTTGGAAAATATGATACTCACAAGAGAGATTGTCGGCAAGAGGGATAGGTGAAAACAACGCATAATCTTCCGAGTGAGCTTGTGTAAATGGCTGGCACAACGGGGTTTAGGGGAGATAAAAAGAGAACATTTATTAAGAGCTTCTAAGGACAGAACCTTGTTGAGAGCCATGATGAAACGACATATAGAAGATTACAGTTTTTCATATACTAAATATGCCTTTCAATAGCTGAGTAAAGTATTAAGAAACAGAAAAAAACGTTAGCCCCCCCCCCGACCCCGAAAAAATGTAGTGAACTTTTATGTCGTATCAGTTCTCTTATATGCCAGTGAATACTGGACAGTTCACTCACAGATGAAGTAGAAATTTGATGTAATAGAAATGTCGTTCTACAGAATGATGCCGAGAACACTATAGGCGAAACATGTAAGTAGCGACGAGGTTCTAGAAAATGAAAAGAAAAAGAACCCGACTTAACACCAGGAAGATGCAGTTGAGCTTTGGGAAAAATGATGAGGAAGGAGGGCTTTGAAAATTTTATGCTCTCAGGAGAGTTTGAATATAAGAGAGACAGGGGAAAGCAAAGCATACCCTACCTGTCGAGCTTGATCGAATGGATGGTAGAGTAGGTTATGGGAGAGTTAGAAAAAAGAAAAAAAAGTGCTAGAAGAAAATTTTGAAGAGCCATGATCGCCAATGTCCTGAAGGGACAAGGCCCATAGAAGAAGAACTAATTTTTTTTTTTATAATTTTACGTTCGGTTTTCAGATTTCTTTAACATTCGCTTCGATGTGACTCTTTTCAAGTGTCCCTCGTTCATTTTTAACATAATTCTGACAATTATTCCTTAGTTAATTCTTTCTATTTATTTTCTTTCTCATATTCTTTACTTCCTACTTGTAAAATCTCCTTCCAAAATCTTTTATGGTTTTCTTCTTCTTTCAATCTACTTTTGTCCCTCATTAAAGCTTTTCTTCTTTAAAACTGAATCCATTACGAACGTTGCTACTGGTGGTTCCTTATCTCAACCCAAAGTAACAAAGCGATACAGACAAAACCACTTTCCCCCGGATCAAAGAAGAACGGCTCCTTTGCGTGAAGAATGCAGTCCCGTCAGCTTTCATCCTCGCTACGTGCCGACACCTTCGTTTGCCGTGATTCCCCCATTTACCTTCGGCTATCCATGCCAGCAAAATCATCGCCATTATTTCGGTCAAGTTTACCACCAACTTCATCATCTCCAGTATCGATCCGAGCTTCTTAGCGGCTTTTCATCATCAAAAGCAGCGGCAACATGAAGGCAATCGCTCGTTGCTTCCAGTCGCATAATCTATAAAAGGGTCATTTTTTTTTAAGAAAAAGTTCCGATTTGAAGAAACGATAACATGCAAGAGATTTATCGAATCCCAGTTGAAAATGTTTGATTCCCGTTCCAAATCTGCGTGTTTCATAACTTTTTAAGGAAGGAAATATAATCATTGGATTTGGCTTAATCTTTCTTATATCTTTCATCAAACCATTTCAATGACTGAATCCATTTCAGGTGTCATTTACATTTTGATCTTTGCACTGAACTCGTGAACGTCAAATGAACTGGCTTAACCTGAGCAAACCTTTGTAATTTGATGGTTATGAATTTCGAATCTAAAATCCATCTATTGTCCCTTCCTGATGAGTGGTTCCTGGTTAGAATCAATGTCTATGATTGTTGCGCTGATTAAATTAATTCAGCACAGTATGTGTGCGTTTTCTTTCAATCTTCTTTTTCTTGAATACTGTTCGTTTTCTTTTATTTTGAATTAATTTCATAACGCTTTGAGTGTCCAATTATTATTACGTCCAGAATCACCACGTCTTACATAATTACATTTTAATTATTAACCTTATGGTTCCAAGCTTCCACAATATTTTCCTGTCTATAAAGATGATATGGGTCTAGTTGTTTGTCTGAGAGTAAAAGCTATTAGATTCACTTAAATCTCAGTTACTAAGTGTATTTAGTCTAACGGTAAGCGTCTGTAAAAGAGAAATCGTCGAAGCAAATTCGACTTCTACCTAAGTACAGACGAGCCAAACTGAGCTATTTCAATGCGCCTTCGGATTTCTGTGTCATATTTAAAGTCCTCTGTTAAAACACTTCCTAAATATCTAAATTTTTATATGTTTTTAATCATTTCACAAAAAGCAAGGCAATAAAGCCACTAAGAATCAAGGAGTTACTGGGTGGGATAGAATATGAGAAAAAGAAAACATTAATTAGATAGGACAATAAAAAAAGGAACTAAGAAGATAGAAGACAAATATTGATATTGCGTTTAAAGTTTTGAAGATCAAAGTTGACCAGAGCGCAAGAAGACGGAAGAGATTTCCACAAACAAGAAGTGCGACAGAAGAAAGCGTCAACAGAGAAAAAAATAAAAATTTATTATAAACAAAGAAAAGAGTACTGAACTCTTACGTAATATCTGTCCTCCTATATGGCAGTAAATTCTAGACACTATCCTCAAAACTGAAGATGAAATCTGAGGCATCAGAAACGAGGTTGTACAATGCTGATAATACCATGGACCAAACATATGAGCAAGAACGACATTTTTAGCTAAAATGGAAACAAAATGGAAAAAAAATGAAAATTGCAAATTGTTGATACCAAAATCAAACAAGTAGGGGAATTTAAATATCTGAGAAGTGTTTAAATTGAGGACGAAAATCCGAAGGTGTATTGGAATAGCCAAAGATACATACCAAATCTATGCAGATTATTGTAAAATACCAGATTAATTTCAACTCATGATTTCTATTCTTATCATGGGCAGGTGATGTATACTTTATCTACGGGGACAGTAGAATCAGCGAGCTGGTTTAAAACTTACGGTTTTATCTGTGGCTTTCACTTCTTGCTCTCTTTTGGGGAAATTCAAGATTTTCTCTCTTCTGTTCAATAAATTAATTAAATAACAGGTTAAAGTAGTTTCTCTAGTTTTGTGTGGCAACCAATCTAGGAGAAGAAAAACTCGGAAACTACTTCAGTATTTTTCCCAAGCAATTCATAGATAATAAACAAAAATAAACTATGAAGAGTCATGAGAGTTTACGTCCTGAAGAGACACGGCATATTTTTCTTAAAAGTCAGGATCGATCCCTATCAAAGAAGAGACGGGTTATTTTTTTTAGAATAGTCTAAGAGACAATTTTGCTAACCTGTTGCCTACGGAAGGTACTCGAGTACAGATTTCTGAGAATGCGGAAATCCTTGATCGCCAACGTTGTGATAGGACATGACATTAAAAGAAAAGAGAAATAAAGTTGATATCTTTTTAAAAATCTTTAAATAATGTCTTATTCCTGTAATAACAGGTTAAAGTAGCTTATATTCATTACTACAGTGGTTTGAGTGACAACCAATCTAAGAGAAGGAGAATTCTGAAACTACTCCATTATCTTTCCCGGGCAATTCATAGATAAAGAATAAATAAACTGTGGAGAGGCATGATCGTCTACGTCCTGAAAAGACACGGCATTCAGTTTCGAACACTATCAAGAAAGAGACAGGTTATATTTTAGAATAGTCTACTAAACGATTTTGCTAACCAGTTGCCTACGGGAGGTAATTAGCATAGATTTCTGTGGAAATCCTTGATCGCCTATGTCCTGATAGAAGATGGCATTAAAAGAAAAAAACAATTAAAGTTGATATCTTTCTTTTAAAATCTTTAAATAATGTCTTATTCCTGTAAAAAAAAAAAAAACTTTTTCATTATTTCGAAGGATAAGGCAAAGTTATTCTTAAAAAAAAATTCATTCATCGCTGTTTTCAGGATGTTAGCCTTAAACAATTAATTGGCAATGATAGACACTCGACTTCTAATAAAATCAGTGTTAAAAATAAAAGAAATAACGTTATATCCGTTAGTGTTATTTATATAAATAACGTTATATTCATTACTGCAGTGGTTCTCAACCTTTTTGCCCAATACAACCTTTTCACCATATGCCAGAATATCATCCCCGTCCTTCCAAGATTCCCCCATTCAAAATGTGCATTCCAAATAAAATGCATATATTACTGGAAATCTTCATTCGATTCCTTATTAGTACATACACATTTACATGGAATATTTTTTATAGAAGAGTTTTCCAAATTGAATAGCAATA